TTAAATATTGTTCTTTGAATATGTTATACACTGGATATCTTTGGAAGATATGCAAACTGTCTAGCTTATAAGGGGACCCTATTGCAATTTACCAAAAATTACTTCATGTTCTACAGTTAAATGAAATAAAAAAAAAAAAAAAAAGTCATTTTTTTTGTTTTCTTTTGCTTACCAAAAATACAGAAAAAGAAGAAAAATGTCTTATAATACATGAGAAGAATTTATACGTCATAACAAATAAGTTGTTTAGGAAGTTGTGCAACCTAACTGCTTTCCCAAGGCAGTTTATCAAAAACCTCATTTTCTGGGGGGGAAATATGGTTGAATTCTGGCATCTTTCCATTTCTTTTCTAAAAACAGGTCTAAATGATCTATTGAGTTTTATGATATATCTAAGAGGAAACTGTTTGCAGATGACACATGAATCCCCACATAGTACTTGTGTACAAGCAGCCTCTAAATACGGTACCTCAAAGCATGTACATATGAATAAACGAACTGACAAGAAATGGGCTCTGGTTTGTATATGGATAGTGCAGGTGTTTTAAAGGGCTTCATATGATTTCAGCAGAAACTCAAATGGCAGGGATGTCTGACAGGTATCATAAATGAATGAGGTGGGCCATGTGTAGCAAATAGGGGATGGTGTGGACTGGCAAACAGGAAAGGATATTTTTGGACTTAAGGACTAGGGGGCTACTCGGCTCCAACAGCTGATACTCTGCAGGAACGTGGGCCTAGTGTTATCAGATATTTTTTGGTTTTCAAGAAAATTAGACATCTGTACTTTTATGTACAATATCCAAATTTTTTTTTTATAGAAAATCATTCTATCAGACTAAATTCACAAGCCTATAGGTTGGCTTCAGCTGGGGAGTCTCCAGTTTGTAATCTCAGCTCTACCAGAATGAATAACGTCCCCTAACAAAGCACAGGAAAGAAAGCAGTAATGTGAGTCAAGGCACAGGCCTCTTTACATATTTATCACAAGGGCCAGCGTTAGCCTTAACTTCTCCAAAAAGTCCTAAAAACAAGAATGATTAATAAAAAGTCAGTATAAAAGTATGCCTTGTTTTTACCTTTTCAAAAGCAAATAACAGGCTTTCTGGAAAAGTTTCTCTGTAAAGCATTTCATCTTTCTCACTGATTTTGGAAGGGGTTCAAGGGTAGGATGCATATAAAATTGGAAGACCCAGAAAAAAAATTCACATAAAAGGGTTTGAAATCTGTATAGCTGTGTTTCGTGGCTTTACAGTCACTGAAATAATTCAAATGCAAACTTTCCTTGGCATCCCAAGCACAGGCTTTGCAATGCAAGAACCGACTGGGATATCTGCTTCAGGCTAGAAGTGATCTGGGAGATTAAGCCCAGGTAAGGATCTCCTGGGTGCAGAAGTTCCCTGGGGAACCGCATTAGGTCAGTGCCCGTAAGATTTGGGTACACTCAAGGGTAATGTGCCTCAGGGAGTTCTTTAGGGATTCTATCTTCAGTCCAGGATTAAGACTTAGGTACATGAATTCAGAAGTGCTGAAACTCATTTTGCTGCTCTTCTTACCCAAGGACAGGGCTGCCGTGGAACCACATGTTCTTGCATGTGATCTAACCTGCCAAGGAGACCTGCAGTATGACTGTGCCTTCACAGAATTACTAAAGCAAGAAAGAGATCAAGGGGGAAAAAAATCACTGCTGCATATTAATTTGGGAGATATACACAGTCAATTCTATTACACAAACCAAAGCATTTTAATCTTTGAGAATACAGTCTAGAGAAGGGCACTGGCAAGGGCCTGCAAAAATCAAAAAGGTCAACATTGTTGGTCAAGATTCCTTCCACCGTAAGGATTCTTATGCAGCATGATCGACAGCTCAAGTTGGCAACTGCAGGCATTTGCACCAGGCGCCAACTTCCTTTTCCCAACTGCATGGTTCCCCCTTTATTTGCTATAAGTAATCAGGACCTCTGGCTCTTACTATAGTATATATGTAATGAATAAAACTGGAAATCAATACCATAAAGAGAAAATACAGATTAAGATGGACATTCTAGGTTGGAATTATGGCCTATTAAACTCAATCTCCTGTCCTTTGCAGTGTACGTGCTTGCGCGTGTGTGTGTGTGTGTGTGTGTGTGTGTGTGTGTGTGTGTGTGTGTGCGTGTGTGTGTCTGTGTAGTTAGGAAAAAAGTGCTGAAATTGAGTTTCCTTTATTGACTGTAATACTAAAATAACTCACCATAAAATCTATGTTATTGTCTTCATTCCTGAAATGTTCCATCAACTTCTCGAAGCGCTGTTTTTCTCCACAAACCTGAAACACACATTTTCATTGTGCATGTGACTTTCTAAACATAAGCATTCTAAAATTAGATGCAGAAATCTCAGCTTAATAATTATTTCCAGAATATCTTTTTTCTCTATCATACACTATTTACTTTTCTTCTGAAGCTAGTCAACTCACAAATAGCAATATGAGCCAAGACCAAAAGCTGATCCTTGGTTTCTTTTGCATATTCTCTTGATATTTTGGAATCCATTATCAAATATGTTTTTCTTTCATTGGTTGTCTCTGTAGCATGCCTTTTCAGCATGCATTCAGAATCCAAGAATGTAGTTCACAATATAAAAAATCTGACTACAGTTTTCTTTTTTTAAAAACGAAAAGAAGACATGCTAAAAGAGTTGAACAATTTAATGTTTAAATTACTAGACAGGTAGATTCAAAATGTTCATATTATGTTTAACTGAATCAAAAAATTTTAGTGCATAAACTACAACACAGAAGTAGACACTGTGGGGAGCTATATTAATCCATTTAAGGTGAGCAGAGAAATTTGCCGTAATGGAGCGGCATCTCAGAGGCCTGAAACACATGCATTCAGGTCAAATAAATGCTTTCACTGAACGGATGAACTAAACAAATAAAATACTGGGAACTTCAGGGCCCCAAGGTATTTGCATATACATGGAATTAAATACATGGAGTTAAGAACAAGTCAAAGATTCGTACCACATAATAACTCTCTGTGGACTTATTTTTAAAATCAAAGGATGAACTTGAATTCTGTCAATGTCCTTGGCTACCTTTTTGTAGCAAAGTCCTATGCCCACAGGTTTAATTCATTCCACCTTCCCTGACCCACCTATAGACCACATGCTGTATGAGCAAGACACAGTCCCTGGGTTAACATTTTGCAAATTTAATCCAGGTTTCAAATGCTAAACTCTATTTTCTGACTCCATTTGTGATCTTAGAGATATGCAGGCCAATCCTCAAGAATTCTTCTAAAATGGTATCTCGAAATATAGCCATTTAATAGAGTCATGTTCAATTCCATGTGAACATATATATATCGGTGAAGAGAAAGTCCCAGGAAGGCAAGAATTTTGTCTGTTTTGTTCCCTGCTACGTCCTTAGCATCTACATCAATGCTTAGCACATTGTATGTTCCCAATCATATTTGTTGGATCGCACTGAATAGAAGACAAATGAGTAATTATGTTAACAGACACTTCTCAAAAGGCTGAATGAATTCCTGTTCTCCATGATGTCTTAGCGTGAAAGCGGATCCATCAGACCACTGTACACGGGCGCCAGGAGTAAATCCTCCGTGGCAGCTCCTGTGCCTATACCGCACGCTGGAAATGTTAAGGTGACCGGCCTTCAACCTCTGAGGGCCTTCTAGTCTTCAAGCAACTTCATATTTCCAACAGATTCAGACCACAGTTTACTGTATTCTCATGACTACTCTCCATTTATTTCCACCAGTCTTAGAAAATAATTTCAGAAGGCTGAGGAACAGTGCATGGGCCCTGTCTGGAGAAGCAGGGGGAGACTCTGGAAGGGGGAGTCTAAAATAATGCCTTTAATAAACACACCTGTCCGACCCCACCCTTGAGTGTCTGGCTCAGTAGGCCCAGGTAGGGCTGTGGTGAATGGGCACGCATCATTTTAAAAGCACTACAGATCATTCCGATGCTCCACAAAGGCCGAGAACAGAGATCGAAGGGGATACCATGTTGTGCCTCTGCCCTCAGCCCGCCCCTCCACAGAATACACAGCATGTTCCTGGAAACGAAAGGTTTGTGGAAGGGGTGAGGTAGTGCAGGCCCAACTCTCTACACTGTGACATCAGCCACGTCTTGTGGCTTGTCCCAACAGGGACAAACATCCCTCACCTGCAAAGAGGGCCCTGTGGGTGAAAAAACGCAAAGGCTTTGCATAGAAAAGGTCTGAATTACAATCTGGACTAATCTTTAGCAGAAACCCCAATATAAGAACTTGTTTCCCAGGAGAATGGTCCCCCTTCAATCTTGTTTTAGGAGGTTGTTAGTGGCTGAAGGAGAAAAGGAGGAGAACCCACCTTGTACCTGCGGACAGCTACCAACCCTCCTGAGAAGCAGAGTGTGATTATGCTCTGGTAAGCGGCTAGGCACTCGCTAAACTGAAAGAGGCAACAGCTACTGATGAACAAGGATGACCAATACAATTCCTAGGCAGGCAAAGCTCTTCAAATTGAAGATGTTAGAAAGCTTAAAATGTACCTTGGATAATCTGATGCCCTCGCTTTATGAATGAGACTGACACTCAGACAGATTAAATATCTGACTTGATGAAAGGTCGACACAGAGGGGCAGAACCAAGGCTAGAACCAACAGTCAGCCTGACGTTCCCTCTACAATGTCCAGATAAACATATTCCACTTAAGGAGAGAGTTCAGGTATTTCAGAATTATCTGAGACACCACAGAGATGAACAATGTTATCACTAAAGTTATAACCATTACATCATGCATTTACTTGGCATCCATGCACCAGAATTGTCCATGGAACCTCTAAAACTGGCAGATTTCTGGGGTCTATACTGAGACATACTGAATGAGAATCTCCACAGATGAGGCTAGAAATCTGAGCACTCATGGTTGTTGCGGCAGCATTTGGGAACCAGTGGCTTTTACAATATCAGACCAGTTGAATAGACCCTCAGCCTTTTTGGCTACCAATTATACAATGGTTTAGCTAGATCAGTAACTCTCCAACTCATTCAACTTCCAATTGAGCAACACAAATAACAAAACATATTAATAGTTACTATAACTGGGTATCACAGGAACGTAGCAGGACTTGGCTCACTGCTCCTGCATAGGTACAATGAACGGTAAGGTAACTCCAAATCAGGGATTGCATCCTGGTATTAGAGAAAATGAGTTTCAAATGACTGGGAAAGCACATGTGGACAGCAACAAAACAAACTACTCATAGCTTGTTAATAAAACGAGATGGCATCAAATCCAGAATGAGCAATACTAGATTAATTTCATGGTGGGTAAAGATCCCCAAAAACATTGTACTAGCCTCGTGGACACGACTAAAATAGACACTAAGAAGAGCCTTGAATATACGTGTTTCTTCAGAAATCCCTCCTTCTGTCAACAGACAAATCCATGTTGAGAGCATGTGTGTTATGAAACAGAGAAATACCTTTAATCTTCAAACATAACGGACTTAAATATTTTATTTATAGCTGCTATGAATGGTGAAAAGAATCCAAAGGCACAAACTACAAGTTGAACACAGATGCTGGCTTTGGGAAACCTTGAAAGAATCTGAGATGGCTCTTCTCAACCACCGTGAGGACCAGAAGGACCCCTGCTATCAGCTCCACCAACCCCCTCTATGTAAAGGATTAGACTGCTTTGCTGCCAATCTAGACTAATGAGCTCTCAACTAATGAACGCAGGGTGGTTTTTCTGACGTTGCTCCACTGGAACGGCAGTGGTTCTAGAGCCCCTCTTCGTTTCTGATGAAGGAAAGGAAGCATGCAAACCAGATTGCCATTTGTTTCTGTATTACTTTAGCAATCATTAAACAAGTGTATACTACAATCCCACAGGAAATGGGAGGGTATGTTCGGGGAAGGTTGGTAAAAGCTGTGTCCCACATCAAAGGAAAGCCGTCTTATGCATACTGCTCACATCTGGACCACCCCCACACACTTGGTTAAAACAGGACCATCGTGGTTGAACGTGCCCCTTCTCTCCTTTGAACTGGCCTCGTTTTAGAAAATTGGTGAGGATGAAAGGAACAAGATATTGATTTTCGGTTATTTTCAGAATCCATACATTGGCCTTCATGGGAATGTTCTCAAGGGCTTCATCACAACATATTTAAGAGCCAGGAGCATATTTGCGCATATATATTATTGCACGTTATATATCGTTGCATGTAACTTCCATCTGCCAGCAAAAGCCGGACAATATATGATGGAAAAACTTTTAAATAAATGTTATACTATTGCAGCTGAAATATATCATTCTTTTTTTTTTT